AATAATGTGCTATTAAATCAGTTTTTCAGGGTTTTCTAGGTAGAGCGTATGCAGAAGCCATTTACCATTCCCTTCTTCTGAGGATGCCCTGTGACTGTGCAGCTTGCCCAAGGCCATGCAGGCTGGTTCTACTAACAGGGGGCACCGTGGCAAATTGAACTTCTAACCTATGACTCTTCAGCCAGATACCTAAACCACTAACAATTTCCCCATTAATCTGTCAAGGTTTTGGGCAAATTTAGATTGAAATCCACATTTTTCTGGTCATGACGGTACTTGATCTTTAATCAAATTCAACTCACATGACCAAATAATATTCATAACCCCCCATTCATATTCTAACAAGGAGATAGTATATAAGTAGATAGCAGGTTCAAATCCCTATCTGTTTCAAAAAGCTAATATTTGTACAATGACTGGATTTCACTTCAAAGCACCCCCTTCAGCACGTTAAAGACATTCTGGAAACTTGTCCCAGCATGAACAGAAAGTAGATATGCATGTGGAATAGTGGGCCATGTGAATTAGGCACATCAGCTTTGAATTTGCAGGGATCCTGCTAGCAGATTTAGTTACAGTAATTTCCTCTACATGTGAGATCTTGGGGGGACCAGTTCCATAGCCAGAGGTTTGCTTTCTGTTTGAGCTCAGTAGATCCTCTACTTGAAAGGCAAATACACCTTTGAATTACCACAGTGACCTGTTTCTTCTGCGGTGGCAGCTGCTGGTAATGAAAACAGGAAGCAATGTAAGCTTTCATTAGAATTTGGGTTGGAATGGGTGTTTTAAACTTTCTTCTAATTATATAAGTAAATTCTGATAATATTGCAGTCTTTATTATAAGTCTAATGTATACTTGAGTATTTTCTGCCATTAGCATTTCTTAATGGGCTGGGTCATTGAACATCTCATATGTGTTCACCTTATGAGGAAACAAACTCATTGCATATGGGATCATGGAAAATCACTGGTGATCAGTAGTAGAATTATTCCACAACCAAATCACACTGAGTAACTCTTGAGCGTGCTGTTCTTTACTGCTCTTTGCTTCCAAGATAAGTTGTCACCAAGGTTGCCTCTGAGGTGTGTGCATGGCTCTGCCTCCCTCCATGCAGCTTTCCTCCTCTGTACAGCAATTATTTTCAGCCCCTTTGGTTCTGGTTGTGATGGAACCCCCTGTGCGTGGGATGGAGTCACTCGTGCATGCAGGGGTGAAGTCGCAAGAGAGAAAGGTGGAGCCCACCCAGCATGGCTGAAAATTAGACCGTACATTGGCTATCACTGTTACATGGTGTGTCACAGTGACAGTTACAGCATGTATAACACTTTCCGGGAAGAATTTTTGAAGGATATAGATAATTTCTTGTCATCCTAGTGGAATGGTCTTGCTCTCTGGAGTGTTCATGTTGTTATATGCAAAATCCATGTGAAGAAAATAATTTCTGATGCAGAAAGTTTCAGAGCAAGAGTTGAGAACTTTTGTTGTACCATATTTCTGTAGGGAGGGTGATCTGTTTTGGGGCACGTGCTGGTGGCATTCTGGATCTGAAAGGGAGTGTGTCCTGCAGCTCGGCTCTTTCAGGCTCATCCCTGAAGATCTGCTGCAAGTTGTCCCTCCCAAGTCAAAGTGTGTAGAATCCAAAGCCAGGCACTTTATCTTGATACACGAGAAGATCTCACAAGAACCTCTTCCTTCGTTCCAGGCAGTGAATAACAAATTGATTAACCAATTGACTTCACTGACCTTTTGTCACATTCAAAATCAGACGCCTGGTGGGTCACCTTCCACAGCTCTGTCTTGCCTTCTGCTCTCTGGCCTCTTTTTCTCCTCTGAAATTAGATCCCTGAGGGATGTAAGTTGATTACTCCAGGTCATAGTAAAATTTTGGTCTCCCTAGTTATCCCAATTAATGAACATCTCTAGTTTTTCTTATCCTCTGAAAAAAGATGCCCCATCACATTGGGAAAATATTGAAACAGTTTTCAACTGTTTCGAGATTTTTGACTCTTGCATGAGAGTGGAGGGGGGAAGCTTTTTCTAAAATTAGCAGCAGCTAGCACAACAAAACCAAACCTTGTGTTTTGCATAAAACATGGCCTTAATGCAAATGAAGATTGTTACGCAAAATACAAGGCTTTGTGTAAAAACACTTCCATTCATTTTTTTTTTTACCACCGCCACCCCAAAAAGTCCTGGCTTGTAAAAAGTTCATGAAAATCTCCTGTAATCTCATGCAGGGAGAAATTGCTTTTGAAGTTTGTTGTTATAAACTGCAAGAATATTGGTCAAAGGACAGTGAGCACTGTCAAGGATGAGCAAAAGGCAGTTATAAGCGTGCAGCTGGGAAACCATTGTGCCAGAAGGTCACAGTCAGGGATGAAACCCAAGAAGTAAACCTAGAATGTAGCAGAGCTGGGAGGAGCACTATTGCCCATGCAAAATTGGAGGCCTTTCATAGTCCTTTCTCTTCAGGAGGACTCAGTTGCCATCCTGATGGAGCAGGATCAGTCCTGAGCTTGATATGCTTGTCTGCCCAAGAAGACCCACTGCTTCGACCCACATATGATCCTGGCACTGTATGGATCGGATGAAAGCTGAGGGTACCCAGGCCAAACCTTGCTAGCTCTTGCCAAATGTGTTAAGATTCTTGGATAGATTGTACTATTTTGTAAGACATCAACATGATAAATTTGGGAAAAAATTAATGACTTCTGATAACAGCTTTATCAGATGTTGAGTGCACTACCAGCTAGAAATGGAGGAGAAAAATAGACTTGCAGTTGAGTATATATTTTACATTTTGTGTTTGCAGGCAAGATATTACAAATCTGTTGTTTTTTATTGGGTATATTGTTCTCTCCATTGCTATCCTCTAATCATTTCTTCTACAAACAGTGCATTGTTCACTGGGGTACATTTAGAAAAACAGTTGTTTTCAAATAATTACTGGGTTTAGAAATGCAACATTTAAAGCATTATGTAGTATTCAAAGAGCATCAGTCATAGTCCTAAATAGCAGGGTTGAGATGTGACTCCGCACTAGAGAGGACTAATTGAATTAATTTTCCTTCTACTGCTTAACAGGCCTTACATGTCCATTGGAATGCTGCGGGATCAAGTTATCTACCCTGACACAGTAGATGACATGCATGAAAAGGGGTACCAAGATGAGGATCTCGAGCGTATCCTACAGATAGTCCACTTGAATCACATCGTTCAGAGGGAAGGAGGTACACTTCTTGGTTTGGAGAAGATGTTTCCCTTTAGCTGGATTAAAGAATACTGCACATTGACACACGCATATTGTGTATATTGTCTTTTATTATAGTATTTACACAGATGCTTACTTGTGCAGTCACACAACACATACACACAGAGTATTACAGAACCATGTTTATCCAGACCTTTATTAGCAGTTCCCTTCCAGATTGCAGAAATACCTGGAGTAACACACATCATGACAAAACTTTAATTAAATACTTATTCAAATGTATGATTGCACTAGAGGTACATGAACAGGCAATTTAGTCTAGTACTGCCTACTTTCACCAGGTTTATAAACTTATAAACGCACACATACACACACATACCATGTGTAACAGAAAGTATTGTGGCATGTCTAGTTTTAACTAGTGGAAATAAATCCATCCATCTTAAAACTGCCACAATACTTTAGTTTTATATTTTGTGATACTGGAAAATAGATACACTTTTTAATAACACTTTTTAATATATACTTACATACAAAGATGTCCATTTGTAATTTTACGTGATATCATAAAAGAAAAAAATTTAAAAGAGAAAAGATGTAAAAGAGCTGAAAAAGATTTTTGTGTTTCTCTTGTATCTCTTTAAAGGGTGGGATGCTGTGACGGATTGGAAAGATGTTCTGTCTGGAGGGGAAAAGCAAAGGATGGGCATGGCTCGAATGTTTTACCACAAGTAAGTCTGATGATCCATTCTCGAATCCATGGGGTGGATGAAGTAGCTTCACAGGCTGTGGAATTGTGGAAGCTGACCACTTTCTGAATCCTAGTTGTACTATATTTTCTAGACTTGAGATAATAACTTTCAACCCAGTACTTTCAGAGGACATGTGCAAGTTCCAGAGTGACTGCTGACATGAAAGCCAATACTGTCCCTTGGTTTACCTCTAGAACTCACATCTCCTGGCCCTGCAGCTACTGAGCAGAGTTTGCTGGGCTCCTTCAAAACCTAAATGAATGACTATTTCTTTTTCTACTTCATAAGGCCAAAATATGCTTTGCTGGATGAATGTACAAGTGCTGTCAGCATTGATGTGGAAGGAAAGATATTCCAGGCTGCTAAGGGAGCTGGCATATCCCTTCTTTCAATAACACACAGGCCATCTCTTTGGTGAGTCTCTAAAGGGGATCCCCACTGCCTCTTTTTTGATTTTTTTTTTTAGTAGCTTGCAACCTGCTAAAGGGTGTAGGATTTCCAAATGTAGCTAAGTGAACAGTCCTTTATGGATGTCCTGCTCACAATTACAATGGCACAGAATTCCAGCTGAGGGCGAGCTTGGGAGGAGGCCACCTTTTGCAAGCAAGTGTAGCAGAGACACCTTCGCTCCCCCTAGTGGCCACAACGCCAGTCGGATGTAAGAAAAAGCTTAAAGGACTACCAGCATTTCTAAGACACAGTACAGGTTTTTTCCCCTGAATTACTTTTCCCAGCAAAAAGTCTTCTCACACTGACTGGCTGGTCTACCATCTGACTTCCCCACATTTGGAGGTGAGAGAAGAGCAAGAGCGACATGGTATTAACATATGGAAAGACGTTGTGCCAATGACATTGCATCCCTCCTGTCTCCTTGATAGCAAACCCCTGGAAATTTCCATTGTTTAGAAAAGGTGCAATTCATGCAGCTGCCCAAGTTATCAAAAATTATTTCCAGAACTGGTTCTAAGACACTGGCTGAAATCCTTTTGTGCAACTTTATGCCATGTAAGTGGGATGATGTCATCATCCGGCAACTAGGATATTTGATTTAAATTAACTGAAAGCTTCCTATCCTCCTGTTTCAGGTTCCAAGTCTCTATCGGGCTCTCTTTTGCCTTGGAGAAGCTCTTGGGAGCCTTGGGACACCGTAAGGGAATTCTTTGATAACCAAATGAATGGCTGGATCACTGCCCCTGGGATCAGGACCATGGATGGCAATTCAGCAGCAATTTTGGCTTTAAGGTGTCTTCCCTAACGCAATGGAACTCCCAAAGGCTTCCTCAGTGCAAAAGGGAGGCCTAGGGAGCCTCAGAACTGGAAAAGGGGGGGGGATATAGGAAGTGTTCAATTAATTTAAATTAAACATCCCAGTTGCTGCATGATGACATCATCATGTTTACACAGTGTAAGTTATGCAAACCATAATCCAACCACGATATCCCTAATTTTAGTCTCCGATGGCAATTCAGCAGCAATTTTGGCTTTAAGGTGTCTTCCCTAACGCAATGGAACTCCCAAAGGCTTCCTCAGTGCAAAAGGGAGGCCTAGGGAGCCTCAGAACTGGAAAAGGGGGGGGGGATATAGGAAGTGTTCAATTAATTTAAATTAAACATCCCAGTTGCTGCATGATGACATCATCATGTTTACACAGTGTAAGTTATGCAAACCATAATCCAACCACGATATCCCTAATTTTAGTCTCCAGATTTTGTTGGGCTGCTTCTATTATTTCCCTGCCAGCATTGCCAGATATGGTGAGATTTGTAGTTCGCTTGGTGTCTTCAGATCCAAAATGGGAAACAGTGCTTTTGAGGGCCTGGTGTCTGTTTACAGTAAGCCGTTCAGGGGAATGTTGCTTTCCCATCATTAGATTTCTCAGTGTTTCCTCTCTTTTTTTTTTGTCCTGCAGGAAGTATCACACACACTTACTACAGTTTGATGGAGAAGGCGGCTGGCGTTTTGAACAGCTGGACACTGCAATCCGCTTAACCCTCAGTGAGGAAAAACAAAGACTAGAATCCCAGCTTGCAGGCATGCCAAAAATGCAGCAGAGACTGAATGAACTTTGTAAAATCTTAGGGGAAGATTCTGTGCTTAAAACCATGGATAAAGAGGAATAAATGTTTTAGTTTACAGTTTTTTCCCATTTTTTAAGAAATCGCTGTGAATGCACTTTGATTTTTGAGACACTGTGGTTTGCATGTACTGTGATTAGCTTAGCATGTACAGAAATATAATTGGCAACAGGCTCAGTGCTTTAGAAAGCCAGCAGTCTTCTAATGTTCCAGAAGACCGTAGTCAAATGAGGGCTGTGCTGAACTCGAGTGAGTTTTGAGTTTCAGTGTGAAAACGGAATTCTTGAAGATATGAAAACCATTTTCCAAAACTTCCTCTTGCCTTGGCAGTCTGTCGTGTTGTTTGTTTGCCCCTGTTTGCATTCCTGAGATGCTCCTGCTTTGACACCACTAGTGGGGATTGCAGTGTTCTTCTTCAAGGTCTCTGTGAATTACACAGTTGGGTTTTGCACCTGCTCAAAAGTCCAGTGGGAATGTTCCAGAATTACAGAGCTGAAGCTAAAAAATTTTCTCCACCCCCATTATGCTGTGCACATGCTCCAAGCTGCCTCCAGCTCAGTTTCTCTCCATTCACCCTGCAAATGACAGCTCAGAGAGAGCATTCCAGACCATAATTGTTTACCTTCTCTTGTTTACTTACCTTTCTTTCCTGTTGTTTCCTTTTTCCTCTTTAGTGTCCTCCTTATAACAGAGAGAGAGAGTAAATTTTCTCCCACTTTTTTGTTATTGCCACCTTATTCTTTATCCATCCTGCCCCCTTTACTCCCCCCCCCAAAATATGGCCTCTCCAGCACTATTAAAGAAGGGCATTGACTGAGGGGTGAAAATTCTCCATAGCAACCAACATTCTAGGTACCTAGGAGACAAAATTATCCCAGAACTGCTCAGTTTGTGAGGCGTTCACTGAGTTCACTCTGATGAATTGGCAGTCACAATGAAATCTATCTCTGGCTGAAGGCTCCCCAGGCTGTGGACTCCATTGGCCAACAAACTGACTCCACTTCATTCTCCAGTATGCAGTCCAAAAAAATACGAGTCACATTTAAGCTTCTCAAAGACTATATGAACTGAGTCACAACTTGCTCCAAGTTCTGAGTCTCAAAGCAAAGCTATTTCAAAACTGAAATCCCTTCAAAAATTGAAGAAGAGATATAGAAGTGTGGGGTCAGTGGTTCCAAAGGCTGCTAAGAAACCAAAGTAATCTGATAAATCTTTGGTTTTGAAGTCAACGGTGTTGGCTAGCCAGACCTTGGTACTGGTGACTAAACCTGATGCTTCAAAGGGCAACTGACCAGATGTCTCCAGATTTATCATTACAGTACTTTTTTCCAAGTGCAGATTATGTCCTTTACCTGGACTCAATGTCAGAAGCTCTCTATCTCTTGCTGTTAATCCGCCTCAATCTTCAAGCCCAACACCATCTTGGCAACATACTAACATTTGTCAAATATTGTCTTTCAATGTTAGAAGCTGCCTTGGGTCCTTTTCAAGAAGGGTGAGGTAAAAATATTGTAAATAAATAATTAAACAAAGTGATCACAATCCTCCTCACATTCTACAGCACACTTGAAACTGAGATTGAGGTCTCTAGTTAGACATTGAGCTGGCAGACCTGGCCATGACTTGAGGTCTTCATCAGTATAAAGGGGACTGAGATTCCCTATGGTGGATACAAGGTATAGGAGAAACTACCCTTTTCCTCCTATGTATTTTATTCCTCCTTGGAACTACCATGGCATTGAGTGGAAATCTACAATATTGTGAAGATTTGACTAATTTGGGAACCTCTTCTCAGTTCCATGAGGTTCAGAACTGATCTGCAAGGAGGAGTAGGAGAGTATTGGTCTGTTCTCAATCCTCTTCTGGCAACCAGCATCGATGCCATTGGTCCCAATCCAAGGAATTGAGGAGGCTTTGCATTCAAGGTCTCATACCACTCATAGGATTCATAGATCACCACATTTTATTGAGAGAACCCCTGCTAATGTTACTCTCTCTCAAGAACAACCTTCTTTAACTCATCCTATAAAGTTCAAACAATCCTGCTCATTCAGAGGCATCACTTCCACCTTATCAGACCTGTCAACCATTTCATGCAATAGATTCATTAGTGCACAAATTCTGACCTGGTTCAACCACCCACAGAAGCAATTATCAAGGATTCCAAGAAATCTTTGGCACATTCTCATAAGAAGTTGAAAGACATAGCCTCTCCTCATCATGCAGATGTCCAGCTAAGTGACTCTTGAGTCAGATGCTGATTCTGCACCACACTCTCCCTTTCCACTTATTTCTTCTCCTGACTTGGAAGCTGGGGATTTGTCTCCTCTTTCACCATCAGATGATATCCAACAGTATAGAGATACTGTTTTGAGAAAGGCAAAATCTTCAAATATTCAGACTTATGCACCTGCTAAGCCAGCAGCCAATCCAGTTTTTGCTGAAGTACAACACTATGCTAGTGGTCCAGCGCAACATTCTGTTCTACAGACTCTGACTGACCTAGTCATGCAATCATAGCTCAGACCTTCATGGTAGGAAATCTGTATCAAGTTAAGGAAGAGTAGCCATCCTTCAGTCTCAAGAGACTATGGTAACATGCTCTGAATAGAGGTCTTGGAACAGCATCTAGTATGTGGCTGAGGAGGCTAATTTCCACACCAAGGACAAATACAATCTGCCCCCTGTCCAGCTCCCTGATTTTGCTGGTTTTGAGACTGCCTCTTTGCCTTGGCCTGCTGAACAAGCGTCTCTTCAAGTAGGATTTTCCATAAGAAATGTGTTCACCAAGATTTGGAATGGAAATTTGTTGTATTTATTTCCCCTGTGCCCACTCATTTATCAGGTAATTGTGAAGATAACTCAGGATGGGACCAATGTGATTCTTTTAACCGTGTGGTGGTCTTGACAACCCTGGTTTGCAATCCCGTGGCTGATGGCATCTGACAGTTTTCTACTCCCAATGTGGGACGATGTACTAACACTTCACAAGTGTCTAGTTCAACATCTGGACACAGACAAGTTATAATTGGCAACATTAAGGATTTCCTCTCCTTAGAAATTATTCTACAATCCTCCAGGATGTCATCCACTATGTGTTCCTAGAATTACAAATGGAAAAGGATTTCACAGTTCACAAGCTTCATTCAGGCTTGGACTCAACCAGTGGAACATCATACAGTACTTAGATTTCTTCTTTATTTAAAGGAATCTGGCTTATCACACTCGTCATTAAGTGCACCATGCAGCCATAGTAACATATCAGCCTCCAAAGCACCCAGCTAGTAAATCATTCCAGGACTGTACTGTCAAAAGTTTCCTAAAAGGCCTGAGAAATCTCTACTCTGATACACATATACCCTTGACTCCATAATCACTCTCTCCCCCCCCCCATGTTGAACTAGTTAACAAAACCACAATTTAGCCATTAGCAACTCAGGCTAATGATTTTCAAAACAATATTCTTAGTAGCCATAACATCAGCTTGTAGAGTGAGTGAAATTTCAGCTCTTAGGTCAGATTTTCCATTTCTACAGCTTCATGACCTTATATGCAGGCTTCCTGCCTAAACTTTGTACTGTATTGATTTTTCATTCTACTCAACCAGTTATCCTTCTGACATGTCTTCCTTTTCGTCACTTACCATTAGAAAGAATTATACACTCCTTTGATGTTAAAATATCATTTGCCTTCTACCTTTCCAAAACTAAAGAGCTTAGGAAATCGCTCAAACTTTTCACCAGTTATCACAGTGCTAAAAAAGGCTAAGTGGTTTCCACATGCTTGTCTAAGTGGATGGTGTCTGCAATCAAGTTCATGTACGATATGGCAAAGGTTGCCTTACCATCTACAGTCATCAGCCACTCAACCAGAGATCTCAGTACTTCAACAGCTTTCTTTAAAGGTGTTCATATCCAAGACCTACTCAAAGCAAACACATGATCCCAACCAACGTTCTCTAATTTTTAGCCCTGCAGGGCTGTCTCTGCCTGTCATGTGTGGCTCTCCGCCCTGCCCACACGTGTGACTTCACCTCCTTGTGGGAGGTTCTGCCACAACCAGAACCAAAGGGGCTCCACGTGTGACTTCACCTTGTGGGAGGTTCTGCCACGACCAGAACCAAAGGGGCTGGAAATGCTTGCTATGGGTGTGCGAGGGAGGAAGGCTGCATGGAGGGAGGCACAGCATTGTTCACTCATGCAATTTGGAGAGAACGTTGGTCCCAACGCTCCACTTTCATCAAGCATTGTCAGTTGATAAGGAGTAAGAAGTGATGCTTCTTTTGGCTGAGTAGTGTTATCTGCTGTGCTCCATTAATTTTACTTTCTGGCATGTCAACCCTCTACCGATGTTGAATCTGGTAAGTCATCCAATTGTGTGATTCATGGAGACCACGAAGAAGAGGTTTCTTACCTGTAACTGTGGTTCTTTAAGTGGTCATCCATGAATTCACACAACTTTCCCTTTTCCTGTTTTTTTCTGCCACACCTTTCTCATCTTTTGGGTGGTGGATGAAGGAGTACTCAAGGGAAGCTGGAGGCAGCTTGGAACATCCTCACAGTATAATGGGATGGAGAAAAGCTTTTAGCTTCAGCCGTGCAATTCTGGAACACTCCAATCAGGCTTTCATGCAGGTGCAAAATCCAGTTGTGTGAATTCATGGATGACCACTCAAAGAGCCATTACAGGTAAGCAACCTGTCCTTGGTTTTGCTGCATGGTCTCAGAAAATTGGGGTTGAACATCAAATAATATGATTGTGGATTGACAAAGCCTTCCTAATGCAGAAGGTGTAACACTTCTGCTTTGCCCAGTCAAATGGGCTTAAGCTTTACTGCCAATCAGCTCTGCATGGCAAGATTTTTGTCCTAATCCAGCAATAGCAGATTGTTGTATACAAATATGTAGAACAAAATGTGCATCAGATACAAAACCAAATGTTACATTATAGCTCAGTGCTGCCCTTCAGGCAAAAAGCTGTATTGCAAAGGTTAACACAAGTGCAGAATTCCAAATAATATACATTACAACTTAGAGAACTTTAAGACAGGAATATCTCAA